ATTGTAATAATATAAAATCTATTCTCATATACAAAAACTCAATCAGCATATAATCAACAACAAGAAAAGAATAAACTGCATTCTCTTGTTACATTGTAACCTTTTCATTAATTTACATCAAATTATTTTGTATGTAAATAAAATAAATTTCCCTTTCCTCTGTTTTCTTAGAAAAGAAAGAACATAAAATTTTACAGCTACAACTAATAACTTATAAATAGCTCATAATACGAGATATTTACAAAAAATTTAATTTTATAAATTAATTTAAAAAATTAATTCTTAATAATTAATTTAATGTGAAGAAATTATGAAATCATACGTTCTTCGACGTATTTTATAATACAAATGATGTCAAATTTTATTAAAATTGATACATTTATTTATATAACATAATATAATAATTATTTTTGACTCCTTAAGATTCGTAATAAGATTAGACTTTGCATTTGTTAAATGATAGCAGAAGAAAAGTAGTACAAGATATATTTAATACATTTTGTAAAACTCATTTTCTGATTTCAATATTTTGCATATATTAATTTGTTCTCAATAAGTCTACTCGCGAGATCACATTCATTTTAAACCGCCATTTGTGCAGAAGTCCATTTTAATGCGATTACTTGCCGTAAGTGGCGTTGTTGTCACTATCGTGAAAGCCTTGAAAACGTCCTTGTAGTATTACTCCATGTTACTATACGCTTCATTCATGAATTTTATAACCTGTACATCTTTGTTTTGACAGTTCGCAAATGATTACTCCCGCGCCACAATCGAGCTTATACGATTTCGATCGAATTATGAATAAGATTTTACGCCTGAAAGGCGTGTAACGCTCAATAAAGTAATGTTTATTTGCTGCGCTTTGTAATATAACCCGTGAAAATGTCCGCAATTATAGATGACAAAGTTGTCGCAGGTGCAAAGAGTTCAAATACTATCAAGGAAGACCCAATCGTAGCGTTAACGGTACGTAAAATACATTAAATCTTTCCTGTACATTGTTTTTTTTCTTTCTTTCTCTTTAATTTTTAATCTAACCGATATGCCAGATTTAAGTGTTACCTGTACTGAGTACTATCAATTCCAGGAAAGGGTGAAAGCTTTGTATCTCTTTCGAGATCGTTATTTTGAGACACATTCTATTGATGAAGCGATTAAAAAGCATACTGATGTGGAAAAGGAAATGAAAGATACGCTTAGCAAATTCGATGAATGTAAAGGATACGAGATTGATGGTTCACGTGCAAAGTATTATTATTTAAAGGGAAGAGCTCTAAACGTAGTGGACCGTTTCATTCCTCAGGCAGAAGAACTTTTGAGCAAAGCAGTGAAATTGGAGCCTAAATTAATAGAAGCTTGGAATGAGTTGGGGGAATGTTATTGGAAAAATGATGATATAAAACAAGCAAAAAATTGTTTTGTTGGTGCTCTACAACATGTATATTTTTTTCTTATCCTATTTAACATAACTTTCATTAGTTAAAAAAAGAAAATTTTAAAACAAGTTATTATTTTACATATGTATTACGTACACATATATATTTCATTTCTTTTTGTAGCATAGGAATAAAACATCTTTGCGAAATCTATCAATGGCGCTTAGACAGGAACAAGCAGCATCTGTTGAAGAGCGAATAAAAAATATTCAACAAGGGGTGGAATATGCTAAGGAGGCTGTAAGCCTTGACATAACTGACGGAATTTCCTGGATCATATTAGGAAATGCCTATTTGTCTTCCTTCTTCAATATAGCACAAAATCCGAGTACATTACGTTCATGCATCTCGGCATATGTCCAAGCGGTAAGATAATGATAGATGAAAAATATCTGTTTACTATATAAACATATTATTGCAAATGTACAATTTAATCTTTATATATTAAATTCTAAATTTTTTTAGGAAAAAGATATTATTGCAAAAAGTAATTCTGATTTGTTTTTTAATAAAGCTGTAGTAAGTATGAATATATTCCTATAATCTTTATTTTGATATTTCTTTTCTGCCTGAAACTCCTTTTAATCTACAAATTTATTTTAGGCTCTAAAATATCAAGAAGAATATAACTTAGCGTTACAATCATTTGAAAATGCAATAGCACTCGATCCATTGTGGGAAACACCACGCAATAAACGAGATGAATTATTACAATATATTAAAGATATACAAAATTCAATCAATAATAATGGATATGTAAAACCAAAACGATTATATCAATTGATGCGGGTATTTATATCATAAAAATTAATAATAATAAATAGTTAACGGCTAGATATATTAATACATGTTATTAATACATATGATAATATAACATGATTTGGCACAATATACATATTTATAGGTTTATGATTAAATGTAGGCATTGGATGTTAAACACTTAGGACCATACAAAGATGGAGCGTATACATACGGGGGAAAGTCTATAAAGTTGGAATTAATTCCGTTACAAGAATTAACTCTTGGATTGAACATGGAAAAAGTCGTATTTGGAAAAGTGGTTTGTTGGATTCAAGATTCGGATTGTGTTCCTTTGTACGTTTACTTTTTATATTATACAAGTTATATTTCAGTTGGACATTAACTTGATAAGCTGCATAATTACTCATTTTTTTCTTTTTCAGTGCTTTTTGTCTTGTGGATGAACAGAAAACATGTATTGTTGTTACTGTATATAATCTAGCTAAAGACCGAGGAGTTACGGTCGGGGATTCTGTTGGTATACCAGAACCTTTCGTTACACATCAAAAATTTTCCTATATGAATAATGTAAGTTTACAGTGTATATTTTTACATGTGTACATATTTTACGATGTAAATCGATATTTGTTGAACTTATAATAATACGTTTTTCCTTCATTCTTTTTTAGGATTTTGATTTCAAATCTATTCGCGTTGAAACTCCAGTTGTACTTGTAGTTAATGGAAGAAAATTAGGTCGAGAGCAACAAGTCAGCCCAAATTTGCAATGTCATTTTAAAAAGATACATTAAATTTAATGATGAGTGATATCGAATCACGTACTCAGTTATTGTCAGTTATAAATAATTTTTGATCTTACCTTTATTTTTTAATAATAACATACTATTTTAATAATGAAACTCATTAGAATATATCTAAAGCTTTGTGCGATAATATGAATTTAAGATACATATTTCGAAACGTTATATGTGCCACAATATATGTTGGCAATAATCAAAAAAAATAAGTTAAATATATGCTATGTTATATCAATTTCGTATTTTATAACAATGTATGAAAAATGATTTGCGTGCACATTTAAACTGCCGTATTTATAAAACTTGTAAGAAAAAAGATATTGATATATATTTTTTTTCATTGTGATAATAATCGTATGCAAATACAATTCGCAAAAGCAGTAAATTAATATCTGCCAATCATTAACTTATAGAGTTATAAGACTTTGCTTGTATCTTTTATTTCAATTCAAGTGACTAAAGTAGAAATATAATATTTTATATATATGTTTTAAATAGAGCGAATGTATTTTAATCTCTATTATCTGATATTTAAATATCTTAGAACCCGCTTATTTATCTCTCGAACATATCTGCACATTTAGTTTAAAACAAGAAGTTTCAAAACAAAAAGGGAAAAAGTTAAAAGCGATAAAAAAATATATGATTCGTTGTTAAACATTAAACGAAAGATCTATTATTTACGTCTATAAATCAGTAAATTTTATAGATTCTTATTGTTTTACTTATCGTGAGAATTCAACTGTCATAATAAATTTTGGTCATTAAGTCTTGCTGCGTCTAAAATATAAACGTACGAAGGACTACTTTTATATTTTCCAAGAAGCGGCAAATTGACTATTCCTCGGAAAATATAGAGAGAACTTGATTTATTTATTCTATAAAATTATATTATTATCTGATCAATAATTTGTTTAATAATTTGTCATATGATGCATAAATTATTAAAAGAGATAGTATAAGATATAGTATACAAAAATAATTTTGATAGAAATTTTATGGTTACACAATTTTTATCGACATTAATTAGTATTAGATTAATTCGATAATCCAATTTGCATAGTGTCATAAAATAGTTATAGTATTGATATTTTCTTTTATAATATATCACGATATACTGTTCGTTCCAATCATCTGTACATCAAAATATTAAAACAGCAAATATTGTGTGTGTATGTGTGTATTTTGTGGACACACAAATATCACGATAATTTAAAATGATAGAGGGAAAAGAAGAAAACGAGAAAAAAGTTTGTATCAAATCAACTGTTTTGCAATGCCAATAGATCGATTTGTTATATAATACAAAATTTCCTATAACATTGATCCACAATATAAATTTATCTGCAAATATACATGATCATCTTTTAACAATTTATACGAAAAAATATGTAAGAGAAAAAATTCTCTAGTTTCACAAAGAAGCAACAGGACTTATTATAAGATGTAAAAAATATATATAATATATGTAAATTTTCGCGTTTCATGCGAAGCATTGATTGATCCGGTTTACATGTGTTGTACAATGCACATCAGATTAAACAAACAAAACGCACAAATCATTATATATATATATATATATGTATAAATATATAAAATATATGCTACTATCTCTTTTGTACGTCAATGGATCAATTTCGAGTTAAAGAACTTACGGTATATTGTGACACGTTTTTCACGTTTTTCAGTCAGATCATATGAATAATGCTTGTGATATATTTAAAATATTTTGTATAAAGATGTTTTCTAATGATTACAATAATAAATACTTATTTATAACAATAACAGCATTTATGCATTATTGTATATATGTGGCAGAAGGATATATCCATCCGAGGAACCTTTATAGTTAGCGTCGACGACTTATGACGGGCGCTGAATTGTCACAATCATTTCTAGAGACACCATGGATCCCCACACCACGTCGAAATTATCAGTGTCATTTACATTCTCACACTGATGATTAACGTATATATATTATCGTTCGACGATATCAAGCGCGAGCGATATCTTAAATGCTTTTAGTCCGTCTACAATCGCGTTACGCCATCACATATTCACCTCCCAGAGCTTGAAATAGTTGTCGATCACCTCCAGAAACCACTGACGTCTTTTTGAATCCTTAAAAGCGGACGCCAATGTCCGCAATTGTAATTGCAGTAACGCTTCGTCGCCCAACAGGCTATCTAGTTGCTTAAGCAACGCCGTGTCGCCGTGCAACTTTAGTAAACTGGCGTAAGTGAAGATATAATATTGTACCCGAAGACGTTGCACGGCCCACGCCTCCACGCTACGATTGCCACTTGCCGATTGTATGGAACCCATATGCTCCGCGTACCACGGTGAAAAGTAATTGCTCAGTTCGAGAGACGACAGCTCCGCGACTCCCCGTGTCTTCAGCCGTTCCTTTATTCGCGAATATACCTGAGGAGTGTATACGAATACCTGAAAAAAAAAAACATTCCTTTCATCACACATATTTATGTTGAATGAAATGACGTTTTGCGAATCTGGGACAACGAGATGCTCGTTAAGATCATCGTGCCCAGAGATTGGGACTTCTTGATTACGACATCGTATATTTCAGACAGAATGTTACGTGATTTCACTTTTACTGACATTGGCGAGATGATGTAAACTATTAGTATGAACTAGACTCGGTCTAATAAGCGTTTCTATGCAGTTTACATAGTTTGTTTCACCTTTACCTAACCGAGACTGCAGCATTATTTTCACGGTAAGCCGATTGCAACAGTGATCAACGGACCGCATAATCAAGAAGGATGCGCCAATTCAAAGAAACGAATTTCATGCCTATTTTTATTATCGTTACGGCATTGAAGCGTTGATCGCAATTTCACGTAAGTGCGCGCGTATAACATACTTTCCATCCTTTTTCTTTCAAAGAAATATTCTCCTAAGTAATCATGCATGAATATATTCATTATTTCATTTTTTGTTGGAATACGTTTCATGAATTATTGAAAAATTCGCACATTGTACAGCTGGTATTTATAGTCTGTTCTTATTTAAAAATTCTCTCAGGTAATGTCTTACAAATAAGACTCTGTGATCGGTATTCATAGCCGATTCTTATATTCCAAACTACATATTTGAAATACAATCTTAAGATGTCCTAAGCCACAGAGTCGTATTAATATCTTAAAACAATATTTAAGACGGTCTTATTATAAAATAAGAGCAAAAACTATAAATACCAGTGATTAGCTTATGATATCTTAAGATTATTTGAGACAATCTTAAGTATAAGAATCGACTATATGAATACCAATCTGTATCTCGCGTTAATTCTTAATGATCGGTTATTATATTATTTATCAAAATATTAGTTCACTTTTACAACTTGTACGTTTTTAAATTAGATATCTCGATTGCTTACTTGATAAAGCGAATTTCCCGTAATATAGGAAGCGATGTAGTGTGAACCGAAGTTCCTGATGAATCGCACAACACTCGCGGTATCGCCGACCGTGACGTTCTCGGTTTGCTCCAACACGGAATCATCGAGCACGAGAGTCTCAGCGGTGCCGGCGAGTCGTTGATTATCACGGAATCTAGCGACACGTACGAGGACGTAACAGTGGTCGCCCGTGATGAAGGACGAGTTTATGCCGAGGTGCCTGGCTATCGCTGTCTTCGACCAACTGCCAGTGAAGGCACGCCACGGCCTCTCGAGCTTCTCGAAAGTGAAGTCGCGGAAATAGGCTTGCAGAAGCTGTCTGTAAATATAAATTGAATATATAGAGAAATCGCGTTATTAGGATTTATCATTGTCGAGAATATCAACTTTTTTCTAAGCTTTTGAGAATTAACAAATAACAAACTGCATTGCACTGTTAGATATTAAGAAAGCAATGGCAACACACAATCTCTTGAGTTAAATAACGTTTTGCTATTTTTAACTTTCATGTGTGTCAAAATACAAATCAATCCATTTCTTGTGATTAATTTTAAAATAAACAACTTCGTAAATAATAAACTGATTGTGTAAAAAATTTAATACAATTTTCGAGTTAAATTGTTTAATTTTGTTGTTTTAAATAAATTAATAATATGTTTAGTAGGAGGCAGTGGCAACCTATAGAAACGATTAAAAAAAACTGAAATTGGATATAAGACATTATGAGTTTAACAGCAAATGATTTTTTATATTCAAATATGTAGTCAAATTTGATATCAAATACTCGCATTTACTTCATCGCGATACTATGAAAAGTTTGAAATTAACTTAATGACTAGAGGTATATTTGAATAAGCCACATGAATTTTATCTGTCTTTCTGCAGATACATTACATGTAATCACATGCCTGATATTGTCGCAAAATTCCATATGGAAGTCGCCGTCGAAGACAGTAGTGCTTTTGCCTGCTTGGCGCTGCTTGGGCGGCAATGGCGTGGAATTCTTAAAGACGTCAAGGGTGGGTTCACGGAATATCCAGGTCTCTGTATCGTTACGCGGCACTACTCGCATACTGATGCTCAGGTAACCGTAACGGCTGAAGACGTTCACGGCGCCGCCGAGTCGCGGACGCTGCGACCTGGTAATGTGGACGCCGATCAGAAACGCGAGCATCGATGCCAGGAAGAAGAGCCGCGTGCGTGACCACATCTCTGAGCGGCTACCTGGGTCAGTGATATCTGAAACACAGATCGTGAATCGACACGAAATTTATCAAGTCGTAAGCAAATAATAAATTGACTACAAGGTTCATTTAGTCTCTGAAGTATTTTAAATTCGGCAGTCTCTCTCTCTCTCTCTCTCTCTCTCTCTCTCTCTCTCTCTCTCGGTGCAATACTCTAAAGTCTAAATCTAAAAACTGAATCAATTCTATATGAAAAGAAGAGTTTCGTTAAAGTATTTAAAAATTTAGCTATATATGATATAATATAGATACAGGTATAAAAATAATTTTGTTATTAAAATTATGTAGAACTCTTATAACACGTTGATAACGATACTATATAAAATTCTAAGCATCCTAACAAAAGTTTAAACGTCCTACGTAATTATATTGAATTATTTCTGTACTCTAGGCTCACCCTGTACAAACGTATCTCCATAAATTAAAACGCTTCCTTGCAATGATACCGCGCAATGGATGCTAGAGAGACACTTCTAGTGCCCCATTCAATTTTGCACCATGAAACAACATTCGCATCTTGCGAACGTCGGGATACTGAGAAGCCTATCTCGAATCGAGGAAGCTGCACTACCGGTCTCCGACCGCACGTGCACGTCTGTCTGATGCACGAAGTTGTCGTTACCGCGTTGTAGCGTTACTGTATCTCGTTGTATCTGTGGGTCTAGGTGTACTCCGTCGTGGTACTCTTGCACGCGAGCGGAGCCAGCGGCCTTCATCCCCACCTGGCTTGAACGAGCACCTTGGTCTACCGGTGTTCTGAACCTTTTCTCTCTCTTCCTTCGCGTGTATGTGTGCGTATGCATCTTGATTCAATAATTCACTCCTTGTCGATCAGGAAGACGGCGAATGCACATCTTCCTCCAGACAACCGATGGCGAGTGGGCGACTAGCCGTCCCGCATCCGTTTCGCTTCGTCGCGTCTCGATACGGAGGCGGATACCTTGCACGGACATTATAATGACGTAGACCATTGTCATGACTATTCAAGCTGCTCTGACGATCATTAACTCGAATTATGCTTTTGATACGAACAGGGAAGTAAGAGGTCAAGAGGACAGCTGTATGACGACGTGCACTTCCTGCAGATATCGGATAATGTTTATTATAACTACGATAAGGCGATTTCTTTTCCACGATTGAACGATCGATACCGCTTATTCTACAATTTGAATTTGAATGGAGAGCATGGTTACAAACGTTTCATGAATGTAACTTCTCCGGTAACTTCTCGGAGAATGCAAAAACGAGCTGACGATAATAATTAGCAACGGGCGGCGTTGCGAAGCACTTTGAATTTTGCAAGATTGCACTTTTACCCGGCGAATCTCAATCTTCTTGAATGCAATTTGGCGAAACTTGGAGTCTGCGTGAAACAGAGCAGAGAAAATACATTTTCGGGGAAAACAATCTTTAGTCGATATAAAGTATTAAAACATGAACCCCATCATTACATAAACAAAGACAATGGAATATTTTTTAGAAAATATTAATTATATATCACTGTATCTTTTTCACTTTTTCGAAGAACAGCCACGTGAACAATTCATAAAGTAACGCTTCAAAGTACGCGAGCCCGCAACAATATGTCTTTTTTTGAGAAGACAGGGCAATATATTACAATTATGAGAGAAGCTAGTTTACACCAGTTAAGAGGGTAAAAGACCATTAAAACGGCAAAGCTGATTTTCTCCTGCGCGCCTCTCATAAGAGATGATTAATTCACATCTCTTAATATTTTCACTCAATTGAGCGTATCCGCCCGTATGTAACGTAATCAGACGCATCGATGCGTACACACTCCGCGTTGTCTCTGTCACCAGAATCGCAGTAAAGGTCCGAAGTGCAAGTCCGAGTGAAAGTAAAGTTGAATTGAAACAACTTTTCCCTCGTATATGAAGCTGGGAAAAAAGGAGCTTAAAATTATGACAGACGCATGATGACAGGCAGAGGTCGCATTAAAACGACGTGAAAAGCGGAGTGTATACCTATATAAAAATACATACACGTGATGTAGCATCGATGTTCAACGGGAATGGAAGAAGAGAATGACACGGTTCAATAAGAAAGTAATTCGCTTTAGAAATTCCATTAAAGATGGACAAAATTGGAACGGAACTCTTGTTTTACGCCAACGAGCGAGGTAGTAATTAAGTTTTCTGTTTTCCAATCGTAGAGATGAAATTACTTGGCCTCGCAAAGGGGAACCGATAGATTAGGTTTGGCGAGAACAACGGAGTCAATTCGATCGTCCTTTCTATTTATCAAACAATCATTTAAGATTACATTTGAGTATAGATTTCCTTTTTAAACAGTAAAGGGTAATCTTGCAATATATAGTTCTATCTTTCTCTACGAATAATATAAATAAATAATTTACTCGCGATGAGAATTATTCAACCTTTCTGACAACGGGTTTCATTTATAGATACCAATCTGAATAATGCATTCGTAACGGACCGTAAAATGCAGTACAGTGGATATAATAGATGATCGTGGTAGAAATTAATTTAACGTTTAATGAAGCTTCGTGGGAGCGGATAATAATTAAATCGACCATCGTTAATAATTAACGGAGACCGGAAAGTTAAATGACGTTTAGCGTGCGTTACGCGAGCACGTGCAATCGAACGCGCATTGCATCGACAGTTTAACTGACATAACGAGTGCGCGATAGCCCGATTGAACTCCACCGCGATTTTTATCTCTCGAACGGCGCGTATACGCTCCAATTCGTCTTTCTCGTTGTTACCAGGAATTGAACCTCCTGCATCGTTTTGCACAATGCAGCCGCTCTCGAATCGATTGAAATTAATCCCTCACCGCCGAAGCGGATCGCATCACATTTCCGTCGCTTTATAGTATCGTTCACTTTGTAGTTTGCCAGACTACTCAATCGCGGACTATGGGGTAAACTTTGACATTCCTGTACGCTCCTGTCTTCTTTGCCCCAGTGGCCTTTGAAGTCTATGAGAATACCACGAAGCGATTAGCGCCAAGTTATAATTATGCAACCTCTCGGTCGATTTTTATTTTCACCCTGTAGAAGAATAGCTTCGTGGACATGGTGAGATTAATTGCTTCGTTAATTTTATAAGCTACTCGGTGCGTTCTTTTTATTTAAAAGTATTTCTTGATTTTCATATATTAATACCGTGCGCTAATAAATTGTTTCGTTACACGTTGACGGGTAGAAGTTAAATACGTTACGTTCTCACTCAAAATAACCAAGAGTAAGTCTTGGTTTGTGTGAGGTCTAATAGTGCTCGATATATCAGCCGTCAGCCACGTCGTTTTTTCGTAACTGCAGTCTATATGACTAAACCTTACTGGGTCAACGCCGTGAAGGTGAGTCATGTGCATGCGAGTTATTTAGTGCATATGTTTTGTTCCATTATTGGAGTAACGCGATACCAATGTGGTGAATGTGAAATTTATTGTAGCTGTATCTATAATGTGCTGTGTTTCCCGCACCGTTAGACATTTCGTCTTAATTTTGAACGGCACCGCGCCGCCATCATTGGCTCAACGATACATACGGATCTCCGGTAATTCACGAATAATAGGAAGTCGTTTATCGATTTATCTCGAAAAAAAAGATCACTTCATATACCCAGATACAAAGTTGCCAGCAGCAAACGAAAGGAACCATACATATTTATGAGATTACAAGAACGTCGAGACGGAGAACGTCTCGATTGTTTCGCTTACTATCGCTCCCGTCCGTCGATGATTGCATCAAAGATGTTGGTTTTTCAAGACTGATCGATCCCAACAATAGCGGCTATTCGTGCATGTTTTCTTTTCTACATAGTAAAATATTTTATAAGGGTACTTTATTTGTGAATGTAAATAATATACTTATGAATGATTATTTCAAATACGAATATAATCGTATAATGTAATTTTTATTCTACAAATTTATTATACATATATATTAATTCTCTTTGTGTAATACTTTTTTTTTATAAGTAGAAATGATTTTTCTAAAGTATCTAAAAATTGAGTTGAATATAAATATAAAGAAAATAATTTTAAAAAAATTATTACAATAATTAGAACACTCAAGCTGGTTACTGAAATGTCAAAATTTTTTGTAACATTGTTCAGAGTCTTTCATAATTATTTTGATAATCCAACAAATTATTTTAAAATTTGTATTTAGCTAAATTTTTAGATATTTAAGTAAAATTATAAAGTACTTTAAAATTATTCTTTTCGTGTATGCTAATATTTTATTACCTTTGACTAACGCATTCGCGAATAAAAAAGGTCATGGCGATAGCAAGACATTGAGAAAAGCTAAGTTTTAAATTGGTAAAACAGAAGGAACGAGTTCTGCTTTCGCCGTTGCTTTCGATGATGCGAGAGTGGTTTTCCAACTCACGTGATTAGGATTTTACGAACATTCCTACCGACACGACGTGATGTCGCATTCTTACTCTCTTTCAATTCAAGATCATTTTATTTGTCCAATAAATTAATCGGTAAATTTCAAATATAATTATCATAAAAGTGTTCACGGTAATAATATTACTTTTTTATATGTGAAGATTGTTTATTCTATGTCTATTATAAGATTCTAAAATGACAGATACTTTCGCAGTGGCGCTAACACTTACCATGTGTAAAATAGAAAGTAATGTGAAATTTAACGTTGGTTCACGAGCGTAAACCAGTACGTTTCTGTACGCCTGATTGCTCGTGCATCAAATGATAAATAAATTTGTATAATATATACATATGAGTATCTGTCAGATATCAAATGAATAATATTCTATGTACGCATCTTAAAAAACTGAATACATTTGCAGGATAATTTCTAGAAAATATGATTTACTTGAAATAAAATAAATAAAAAAATTGAAAATGTGAAAGTATTAAAAACAATAAAATAAATAGTTATATAAATTTTTATATAACTATTCAATTTATGTTTTTAATTTTAGAAGAAAAGAGAAGTTATAGAAT